TTTAACCCCTTGCTTAACTCTGCTCGAGTGATCATAAAAAGTCAGGCTAGATAAGGCACGTCATTCTCCCGCCTCCTCCTGTAGAGGGCACTTTTTTAGAGGCTTTTTTAAACAGTTAAGCACTAAGCAGAGTCATCCACAGTGACTCTGGCAGCAACTACCTCAGCCTTTTTTCTTTTATATTTTTCTTTTCTTTTCATGATGACAGTGGTAAGGCCCTGCCTCCCCTGCCTCAACTGACTGCACGTCCCTGCACATGCTTTACTTTCATCATATGCTTAAGTTTGTGCAGAACACCTGACCAACACACAAAATGAACTTCTACAGGATTCAATTACGTAAGAAAATTCTTTATATACAATACCATACAGCAGAAGTCAGCATATAAAATCAGGAACACAAGCAATATTCATAGAAGCAAGTCATTACAGAGTAGATAGAGATAACGGAGGCCTACAGTATATATTGTGTAGAAGCTGCATGTTGTACAGAGGCCTAACCAACTCTTATATACAGTTCAAGTCTAAGCCACGCAGAGATTCCAAACTGTTTCTTATGGCCAATTTCCAAACAGTCCCCATTGGCTGCCCTGTTGCCATGTCTATTTCAGTCTATGAACATTCATACTCTGACATATGCTACTCTTGTTGCATTCAACAACATAAACTCAACTGCATTATGTATGCAAAATACTCCATAGTTCATGCCTATTAACTTTATCATATACAGGTAGTCCTTGGTTTAGGATCACAGTTGGGTCAAGAATTCCTGTTGCTAAGCAAGGTGGTTGTTCAGTGAGTCACACCTGATTTTACAACTGTTTGGTTGCGATTCTTGAGCAAATCGTTGTGGGGAAGTGAAGGACCAAGGAAATGTGTATTTGAGGGTAGAATCAATACAAAATGCACCTAACTCTACATGGATGCCCTCAAGACAACAAGGGAGAGGCCAACTTTGTCATCTATGCAAGGATAGTTCTCATACTGCTTTCTACTTCTCCCCCAAACAGGAAAACTGCACAAATGAAGAGATCCTTCCTAGCTTGAAATATGTGAGGCCCGGGTCTGGGTTTGAACCCAACTTTACTCTTTGTCAGAAGTGTGAAGTGAATGGCAACAACACCCACCCTGTATTTGCCTACCTGAAGGATAAACTCCCTTACCCAGATGACGATCCATCCTGCTTCATGTTGGAGCCAAAGTTCATCCTGTGGAGCCCCGTGCATCGCTACGACATCTCCTGGAACTTTGAGAAGTTCCTGGTGGGACCTGAAGGAGAACCTTTCAAGCGCTACAGCTCCAAGTTTGTCACTAGCAGCATTGAGCCCGAGATCCAGCGCCTCTTGAAGCTTGCCAAATAAGAAAAAAAGCAGAACCCACCAACATTATTTAAGTAGCCTTTACATAAGTCAGAAAAATGACTAGGGATTCCTTGCCTTGTAATCAGAAGTTTCTCTTCTCCTGATAGAACCACTGAAAGAAACAGGCATGCTTAATTTTCTCTCTCTCCCTCTTTTTTCTGAGTGTTTGAGGTGCTTCATCCTGGCAGAGGCAACATCAGACTTCTACTGAATGACAGTCTCCTCTAAAAGCTTCAAGGAGGAGGCTTGAAAAGTGTAAAAGTATTGATTCCTTGGCTCTCTCATTTGCTGGGTACTGTTGATTTTACAAGTCAAATAAATGAGTTGAAGAACTTTCTGCTCTGTTTTTTTTTTAAATGAAGTTGCCATTTATAACATCCATTCTGGAAAACTTTTTTGGGGGAAAAAAATTCACACCTCTACTTCCTATGCTTGCCTTCAGATACCCCAATTTCTTCTTGGTTCCTTAAATTACTCTAGGATCAGGGGTGAAATTCAGCAGG